TTTTATTTCAACAATTTTTTTCTCCAAACATAAATAACGGATATATTCCATAAAATATAAAAACGCCTTCCCGTAAAGTACCCCCCTAGATGTTCCGACTTTGTCCAAAATCTAATCATGTCACGTCAGGCCGAAATAAACCTTAAGTTTAAAATTTAATGTTATTTTCTTTATCCGTTTTTGAGTTTTCTTCAAAATTCGAAATTTACACATTTTCTCAAATATCTCGAATACGGTCCATTTAAGAGAAATTATATAAAGAATAAAAATTATAGAGAATTATATTACAAACAACTTTTATTTAATCAATTTTTATAAAAAAATATTTTTTTTTACATTTTGTCAAATTTCTCGAATACGGACCATTTTAGGAAAATTTTGTATAGAACAAAAATTATAGATAATAATATTAGAAGTAACTTTTATTTGAACAATTTTTTTCTCCAAACATAAATAACGGATATATTCTATAAAATATAAAAATTACCACCTATAAAGTACCCCCCCCAGATGTTCCGACTCTGCCCAAAATCTAATCAGTTCATTAGACACTGGAATAAAGCTTAAGTTTAAAATTTGGTGTTTTTTTGTGTATCGGTTCATGAGTTATGCGACCTACAGACATACACACACACACACACACACACACACACACACACACACACACACACACAGACACACACACACACACACACACACACACACACACACACACACAGACATCATCGCGAAAATAGTCAAAACGGATTCAGGGGACCTCAAAACGTAAAAATCCGTCGAAAACTCGAGGTCGAAAAAAATCATGATTCCTATACTTTCCTTATATCTGTATACAGATAGGAAAGTAAAAATTACTTAGGGAAATCTTTAAAACAGATTTATCATCTAGTGCTAAATTGCTGAGTGCATTCTTGTAAATTTCGTTTATATATAGCGTAAAAAATCTAACGACGTTGCCAATTACGTTTGCAAATTTTTGTGTTTTGTATATTTTTGCATGGTTTTGTTTATTTTTGGTAAGTTTGGCTTAAATTTTGCTTATATGTTACTGTTATTTTATCTTTATATTATTTTTAGAGCTAATAATAACTGAAACATGGACAAAAAACAAGAATAAAAGTTGTAGAAATGGTTTGAAGAAATTTCGTCTGATACAGAAAAACCGCTGGATTCTGACGTGGATCTTAGTGACACTCCCTCTGAAGTTTGCATAACACCGATACTGAACAATCAGGCGAGAGTGGTACTGAAAATGTTCCTATTGCTCAAACTCCTTTACAACCGAAAACAAAAAGAGAATATATTTTTTTTGAGGTTCAAACACAAACCGGAGACGCCCAAAATAAAAATAACGTGCTCATAACCTTATAATTACCTGGATTAAAAGCTGTTGCCAAGGAGGCTAAAACCGCATTACATTGTATAGATGTAAATACTGCCCAGTTAGAAAAAAATTGTTTTACACCACATCAAAGTGTAACTTGTGCTTCCCCAATGTGTAAGGAACACACACAAAAAATCACAAATATTTGTTTTGAATGTGATAATTCCAGTGAAGAATCTTTGTAACTCAACATTTTTGTTAAATAAATATAAATAATAAAGCCTGATTTTATTTTATATCAAAAATACGAAGAGTTAAATTACATTTAATAAATTGAAAGTTTAAACACTGATTCTGATTTATTTTTTATTTTTAGATAAAATCTAATACGCGGCCGATCGCGTTATAAGAAGGGTAGCGACCGATCCCGGGTTAAATACACATCCCCAACTAGCCATTGATAAAAGTGTATTTGTTGTGATGTCCTCACCATCATCTACTAACTGTATAGTCCAGGAGACAGTGACGATTTTCGGTATTTATTTTCCCAGTCAGCAATTCTAGGCAATTCTAAGTAAAATTTAATATATTTAGAGGGGGGGTCCGATAGGTTAAAGCCGAAAATGCGTCAGAACATATAAAAACAAGGCTCCTGTTTTCCAGCAATAAAAATAGTTTCACCCTCTAATTGTAAATTTCTTTAAATTTTAACTAATTTGTTAACCTTTTTTCAATTTTGTGAATAGTGAGGGTGGCATGATTCCTTAATTCCACACAAGCTAACTTGCTTCTGGAGATCAGATTTGATTTGTAAGGGCTTATCCCACACTCACTATTCCCAATACCAGTTTTTTGTCACTTTGTTTGTTTCTTGTAATTTTTTTTTAATTTGTTCAAACAATTGTATATATACTATTTTAACTTTTGACTTAAAAGTCTAATTCAGATTTTATAATATATTTTTTAAAATCTTTTTAAATTGTAAGTTTACATCCACAATTTTTGTAGATGAGCACTGATGATGGCAAATAAGCCGAAAGCGCTTTGCATTGATTAATAAAAAAGTTTTGCACGAAATACAAGTTTTTCCTTTTGAATCTAATACATAATAATTGAAGATATTACAGAATAAAATAGGGAAATAAATTACATTTCATTTTACACTTTTATATAATAATTATTTTATTTAGAATTCACGGAACACTTATTACTGTTTAGTTTTGGAATTTTTTTAGAATTTTGAGACAAGCCTACTCTACATTAATTATAATTATTGTTAGTTTCGTCAAATCATTTATACTCGTTGGGTGCGCGTAATAGAAATGCTGCTAAGAACATAGCTAAATTTTCATTAAAACACTGTACTTTTGACATTTGCGATACTCCGACGCATACGCATTATTGATGTAATCTCATGATTTTACAGTACTAGTTTTTGCAATTTTAGTGTGATTTTAAGGTTATTACGGTTATTTGTTTTGTTTGGTTCTGATCTTTTGCGCTTTTAGAATATTTGTCTCTCATAGTTATAGTTTTTAATTTGAATTTTAATTGTGTGGTCTATTTATATTTGATAGCTGCTTTTCGACTAGTGCATTATTCTTTTTGTGTTATGATTAAAAGATGTAGGTATTTTAGTTATAATAGAAATATATGATACATTGTATTGATCTGCTGGCCACTGGTCATTCCACTTTTACTCCCTTTTTTCATAAATTGTCAAATTATTTAAAAACAAATACATACCTAGCTATTTTCTGTAAATTACATTAAAAATGTAAAAAACATATTTCTCATCTATTAAATTGTTATTAACGATAAAGAATACTTTTAATTTATTAAAACCAAAATAAAACTGAATCGATAACTTAAATCAGTGAAAATAAGTTGCTTGAGATGGGGTCGTTTTTATGGAAAATTTTAGTGTTAATACTTTACTAATAAAACTACAGTTAATTTATCTTATATATAAATACAACGGAATAGTTAATTGGATTTTCTTCTTGTTGAGTTTCAAAAATAGTAATTTATCGTGATTTAAAAACAAATACATGAAATGGGTAAAATAAGCCTGCAAAGGCACTTTGTGCACAATCTCACCTGTATCGATGTTACGTAATGCGCAAATTCAATTTGACTTACTTTTGTTAATAGATTGGCGTTCCATTTTAAATACAGTTTCCTGGAAAAAGATTATTTAAATATACACGGACCGGGAAAACAAGTACGAAAAAAATTCACTGGCTCCTCGACTAGTAATGTATCGAAGGAATTTTATGAATGAAACAAATTACGACCCTACTACAATAACGATGTACTCTAGTTACGCTGTTGTCAGACGTTATTATTTTTTTTTTTTTATATAATTTGAAGACTTGACAGTATTGCAAGCAAAAGTAATTACATTACTATAGTTAAAAACATCGCAAACTTGGTATCAATATTTTATTTCTGCCGAGGATCATCCGCGTTGACTTCAGAAATTTTGTAAATAATCATATCTGTCTTGGTTATATATCTATGGTTAAAAGCACGTAAACTTGACATCAATGTCCGATGTCAGATTATTGTGTTTCTACCGCGGACGCTAACGTTGATTCTTCAAAAATTTTGTAAATAATCCTATCTGTCTTGGTTATATATCTATGGTTAAATATTCCACAGCTGATGCATTTGCAAAGTAACTCTATTTTCTACAAAATAAGAATGGACTATTAATTTGTAATTTTACGTTACGCAAATTTCTCCTACCATATTAGTAAACAGTTTTCTTAGATATTGAGCTAAGCTTTTGACAGTGTCTTCCTTAATGAACTATTATACAAAATTAAGGAAAGCCATCCAGTTCAGTACCTGTTATAGATTGCTAAACTCTTATCTGACAGATATAAACTTCATATCAACGATAAATAGACCAAATTCTGAATTTGAAACCATTAAATCTGGAGTCCACAAGGCAGTGTTAGTTAATACATCTGATTTCCCAAACACTAAAATAAATAATCGCACAAAATAAGGGTCTCTTGGCGATACATGAACACCCTTAATAGCATGTTCGAACGTCGAAAAATATCTCTTTCATCTTAAAAAAATGGCTCCAAAAAGGAAAGATTAAAATCATTACTTATTATGCTTATCTGGACTAATGGCATCGAACTATAGAAATGTGAAAAACTCGATTGATTTTTCTTTTTTTTTTTGATCTGACATAACATTTCAAACGTTATTAGGGTTTTCTTACACTATCAAAATCATACTTATGTATTTCAAATCATACCTTTTAAAATCATACTTGTAAACTATTAAGTGTTTACCATAGAAAGGGAAACTTTAAACGAATTTGATATTTCTTTCTTTCTTGCAGCATAGATGGAAATTTTATGTTATTTGGAAAAGCAAGTTTTCAAGTTTATTTTATAACAACCAGTCTGTTAGTCGTTTGAAGATTATCTGATCCCATTCTCGTGTATGACCTTGCATGAACTTACATACATATACAAATATTAACATTAATAAAAGTTATAAAGTTATTTTAAATGAATGTAATAACAATAATATTTATAATGATTAATATAAACATATTTTTATTAGTTGCATCGTAGAGTAACAGAAATTAATTTAAAACCTAAAATGCAAATAATGTTTTTTATTTTTTCTTTATTATTTTTTTTTACAGAATTTATGAACCTTTTTTCGGATTATATGGATAAATATGGCACTATTACGAAAGTATATGATGGTCCTCAAAGTACGTTTTTACTTGTAGCCGATGAAAACCTCTTCGAATACATTTTAAGCTCGCCTCAACTTATAGAAAAAGCAAGTCAATATGAATATTTACAAAATTGGTTAGGATTGGGTTTACTCACAAGCACAGGTAAGTAAGGAGGTTCACCTTCTGTCATGGAAAGTTTAAAGGCTGGGTTTACGTGAAAATTAGGGCGAACAAAATGCATGTAAAAACATCGACCCTGGCCGATCTAATTCGTTTAAAACGTAAATGATTTTGTGGGCTCTCAAATTAGTTGAGAATAGTTGAAAGTATCAGCTGAGTGGCGAAACAATTTATATTCCGAAAATCAACCGAAAAATTACTCAAATTATTTATTGAAAATACAATAAATTTATCACACTAATTATTGCAGCCTAATTTAAATGATCTTAATTTTTAAATTCAACTATGTTATGACCTATAACATGTTTGTAGTATATTATGTACAAATATTGATGCCAATGAATGTGTAATGGATTTTGCATTAAAATAATCCTATTTAATAAAAGTAACTAGATTTTAGTAATATTTTAGTTCAACGGTATCGGCTTTAGAGCATATAATAGTGCTCTAAGGTATCGGCACCATAGTTTAGTGAATTTTAGTGGTCTCTTCTTTAGATAGGTATCTAAATGACATTTAGAGCTCCCTTTAGATAATATCCCGGTGAATACAGGTGTTTCAACTCTTTTTAAAATATGGCACAAAAAACAGCATAGTATGTAAAAAATCCACCAGATGTCGGTGGAAGATGAAGTACCTCAAATGAAAACAAATATTGACTGCGAACTGTCAGAAAAATCCAGTTAATTTTATCTTAATCGAGTAAAAAATACGTCTATATCCAATTTTTTTTTTTTTTTTTTTGAATAATGGTAATTTATTAAAGTCTACTAATCATACTCTATATAACAAACGAAATGGAAAGTGAAAATGAGAAGAAAAATACTAGACCACATACTTATAATAATAACCACCCATATATTTCATCAAAACAAAGTGAGTTCATTACTATTTTATATCATTTTTAGTGTACAAGACAACAATAATTAAATAAGGAAAATAGTGTGTAGTCTTTCCTACAAAATTGTAAATATTCTTGAAATGGATTTTGAAAAAATAAGTGTTAAGTGCCATTTGATGTTATGTTTACAGAAAAGTAGGTATTAAATTATAACTGCCACATTTTAGATAATTAATAAACACATTCCAAAGATACATGCTTATTTTGTTACCAGTCCCAAACAATTTCACATGGAGGGGATCTCATAATTGTAATAAAATGTGGTTCTTACAAGGCAAATTGATGAAAATGGTAGGTACAAAAATAATCTGTAAACCTTAATTACCTACCTACTATATGAATAAGTGTTGTAATAAACTTTTTATTAAATATAAACGCAGAGGATTGTTTTTAATAGATCCAATAACTTATACAACTTTAATCATTTACAAAATAAATCAAAGGTTTGTAGGTGTAACTACACACAGATTTATAAAGGAAAACGAAGGAAAGGTAGGTCTTTTCAAGTGTGGAAATTTTATTAGTGTTCGCCAAGAGCTTGCATTATAAATGTAAAAAAAAACAAATTATCAATCATTCCATTCTTGTTTACATTTATAATATGCAGAGGATTGTTTTCAATAGATTCATTAACCTATACAACTTTAATCATTTACAAAATAAATCAAAGGTTTGTAAGTGTAACTACACACATATTTATAAAGGAAAACAAAGGAAAGGTAGGTCTTTTCAAGTGTGGAAATTTTATTAGTGTTCGCCAAGAGCTTGCATTATAAATGTAAAAAAAAACAAATTATCAATCATTCCATTCTTGTTTACATTTATAATATACCGATGATGTTTTAACAGCCGAACTGCTAATTCTAATAAAATGTACACACATACACATTTAAAAAATTGAAAGTACCTTTATTCGTTTCTTTTCTTTATCTACAAAATAATATAAAAGCTTATAACAGCAATTACTATCATCTTTATTATTTTATTTCTACTTCGTCCAATTCTACTTTTGATATATCTAAATTAAAATGTCACAGGTACATCATTCATATCTAAGATCAACAATAACCAGACTAGATAATAACTAGACCTCAACAAAGATGAAAGAAGTATTACTTTAAACCAACTTTAATAAATAATATTGCAAAATTATTACAGTTATAAATAAAATGCAATTATATTTGTTCGTAAATAGATATGTCATGCTCCGTAAACATTAGTATAATAACCTGTCAAATAATTGACCAATCATCTAATGGCCAGATCTTGAAGTTGGATACATGTTGATGTTAAAATATACTTTATCTAGCTCTTATAATGGTCAAACGGGTACCTCACCTTTTAACGACCTCTGGTGAATTTTTAAAACTACGTTGTGTTTGGTGCCATATCGTCTTTTGTTTTTATATGGGATTTTAGGAAAGCTGGATTCATATAAAAAGGAGTAAGCTTTCATGTGGTTTTAACCATTAAAGTGAAATTAATGCTTTGCTATTTAGGTAAATCAACTCTTTTAAAATAGCGTTAATAATTAATGAATTATTAAATTAGTTTTTATTTTCTATAACCAGTAAATAATGTATAGAAATTATGATTTTTCATAAATTTTTACGTTTTGGGGTCCTAGAATCCGTTTTGAGCATTTTTGTGATGATGTATGTGGGTGTGTCCACGATAACTCAAAAACGGAATAAGTGAATAAACTACATTTTAAACTGTTGTGCGCTGCTTAGATTTTGAGCAGTGTCAGAGAGAGCATTCATTATTGGGTAGGGATCGTTTTTCTACTTTAAGGTATATACCTGTTATATATGATTAGAGAAAGTTGTCTTCGATGTCATTCCCTATGCATTTTGTAATATACAGTGTCATTGTTATAGTTTTCTTCATATGGGATTTTTTTTTATTTATTTAGTTCATTATAATTATTTAGTATACAAATTTATATTTATATGTTTGTGGTTTGAAGCCAATAAAAATGACGTTGAAATCTTTTTCTGTCGTCGATCGCCTATACCTGTCAAATTTGATATCTTATCCCATCTTATCAAAACAATTTACATTAGGTTATTTATCAAAATATCGAAAAATGTTAAATCAAAAAGTATGATTAACCTGTAATCTAAGTTTATAAGCACCAGCTTGTTTAATCGTAGAATTTAATTTGTATCTTTGTCGTTCTCTAAAATATCCATAACGTGTATCAGTTCATTTCGGTATTCATAAACTGTATTAACTCTCCGTGATTGGAAATTCCATCTCGTTTGTGATGAGCGTGGTAATCGTCTATGAGCTATATCATCCAATACTTTTGTTCTTTGAGATTATGTAGAAAAAAACAAATTCCAGTTAAATGAGCGAAAAAAATCCGATCAGACGCATTAATTGAACCTGCACTGCTCATTATAAGGTTAATCTGGTGTGCATAGCAATGAACATAATTCGCTAAAGAATATTTATCTTTAATTATTTTTTATACCCTGATTAAAGTTTCTTATCCGGCCTTTGAAGTTTGACGAACTTGAGATTTTTATTATTTCCAAATCGGGAAGAGGTCTCCCAAGTTCCTTTATTTGGATTTTTTCCTCGAGCGAGTGCGTAGAAAAAGGTTTCAGTAACAGATTGCTTATTTTATTAATTTTGCTTCGGACTCTCGGACGATTTTTAATTTATTATACTTTAAAAACTCAACTATTCTAACTAACTACCTAACAAACAAAAATTCAGCACGCATAAAATGTTAAAAGCAATACGCCAAACTCGCCGAACATGCTATTATAACAATACTATTCTAACTATTCATTCCGAGCTGCTTGAAACGTGGCCTCGTTTGAATATATAAGAAGCGCTTTCTACTGGCGAATGGCGTGACTTTTAGTAAACTTTCACAATGGATTGATATGTAAGTAGCCGGGCCACTGGTCGATGTGCTCGGATAGACGACGGACAGTCAATTGCTGGAATTATTAAATTTGTTATGTCTAGGAATAATACGACGCAAGTTTTTTTACCGGGATCAAATTAAATAATGATAAATAATTTATATAATGTATCGTTTAGCCATAATTTGATCCGATAATTGTAATAATTATTTTTTACAAATTTTGCGTCAGTGCCAAGGCCCTTTTGCCCCTTGGGACAAGCCACCACTGCGCATAATCATTAAGATTTTTCACTTGGAACACTGTATTCGATTTAATTTACCAAAATAGATGTACCAGCGTAATCTATGAACATAATATTAAACTTTTAGTATATTTTTTAAAACCATTTAAAACTGAGGGCGTTGACCAAGCCTTAATATCCTTAAAACTTTTTAATAAAACTACTGTTGCTACCGGTAAAAAATACACAGAATTTCCTAAAACATGAATTAGATTTGAACGGCAAAAAGCGACCGGAAAAACAATTTCAATTTAGAACATTCGCTTTTCCAGGGAAGCATTTTGCAAACACTTAAATCTTTAAAATGTTTACACCCACATGGATATTAGCTAATATACGCACATACTACAAAACGAAAAATTATTCCATTACTTTCAACTGAACGAATATATTTCATATCCATTCTACCTAGTAAGAAAACTGCAAAAAAATTAAATCCACCAATCACAGTTCATATTTTGGTCAACCGGTCACTATTATTTTTTTTAATTTTATAGTGACAATTCCGTCAAATTAAATGTCAATATTTTTTTAATTATTGAGATTAAATATACGTAAAAATATGTTATTCTTGTGTAGAATCGTCTATATTTACAAAAAAATAAATTTTAATCAAACTAACTAACTAACTTAATTACGAGTTTTAAAACTAAAATTGTAAATGTCTCCATGAAGGAGAGACCAGGGCATTTGGCTGCCATGCGAGCGGCCCGGGGTCGAATCTGAGCTGTAAACTAATTAAAATAAATGTTTTTTTAGTTTATTATTAGTAAAATTCTAAAATTATTTTTTAATTAGTTATTTTATCTTAATCACTTAAAATAATTTTTTAAATTGGTGGGTTGTAGAAAAAATATACTGTACAACTGTTTTGGAATATCTTATATCTTGTCAACATTATAGTATATGAAAATTAATAGATATTAAGACACTTGTAGCTTTACACTTAACTTATATGACATTTTTTGCACGAGCCTTGGACAGTGTCATAACGAATACAAGTGTCTATTTTTTCTATTAAGTCATAAAGAAAAATAAGTATTATATTTTCATAATTTATTAAAAGTAGATCAGTTTTACCCGAGGGGTGAACCGCACAAAGGTTACAACGTACCTGTATTTCGGAAATCATCAAAAATTCGGCGAGTTCGGGTAAAAGTGGTTCACCCCTCGCATTTAACCCACTTCACCAAAATAAATTTTAACCGATAGTTTTGCTACATTTCTTTGGATTTAACTAATGTCATTTCTTTTCTTTTAGGTTTAAAGTGGAAGAAACGCCGTCGTGTAATAACTCCAGCTTTTCATTTTTCTATTTTGGAAAATTTTGTAGATATTTTTGAAAGAGTCGGGGACGTTTTTATAAAAAAACTCGAAACTCATATTGAAGAGGAGAAGGTTGACATTTATCCATTGATTACACTCTATGCACTTGATATTATCTGTGGTTAGTTTTTAGAAACGCATAAAGCATTTTATTTACACCTATCAATCATTTTGTTTTATACTACATTTCATCACCCTAATAAGAAAAGTGTCTAGCTCCACTTTTTTGCAAAACTGGGATTTTGTTACCATATCTAATAGAATTAGAATAACGTCTAAGTCACCTTCTGACAAAACTTAGAGTGTCAGCTTAACCCGTTTATTTTAAATTGAAATGATAGAAATTTCCGACTCGACAATTGCCAAAAAGGAATTGCCTAACTCCACACTTTTGTTTAAAAAAGTAACGCGTGGAGATGATTTGGTGGTGTTTTCTTCGTTTTTTTAATGGATAAGAATGTTCAGTGCTCACGTACTTTTAAAAAGAAAAGATCTGATGTGTTCAACACATGATTTTCGTATCTAGTTATTAAATGCTTTTTCCGGTTATTTGGAGGGTAAACTAAATATATACATTTTCCACATACTTCTAACTCAAAACATTTTTTTATATATTATATTCATTGCCAAATAAAATACTGAAAAACAATAAATTTCAAATTTAAGCTTTAATCGATACTCTAATGAGTTTAGATTTTGGGCATATTCGGAGCATCTGGGGGTACTTTATAGAGAGTCGTTTTTCTACTTTAAGAAATATATCTGTTATTTACGCTTGAAGAAAAAAAATCGTCAAATAAAAGTTGCTTATGACATAAAATTCAATTAAAAAAAAATGAGAAAAGTATGTATTTGAATTTTGACTTACCATGTACAGATTTGTTTCGAATTAAGAAAGGTAGTATATCGGCATAAAATGTAGACTAATATCGAAAATCTTTTACTACAAAAGATTGGTTTTCAATTATTTATTTTGCGGTATACAGGCCATTGAGATCAATAAGATTTTCATATAAAATTGATATTAGCGTATACTCTGTATAATCTTATACTATTTGGTATTGTTATAATGGAAAAAGCGAGGGCAATTCAAATATAAAATAAAATACAGGGTATTCCATTAAAAAAACCTAACTTTGATGTGCTTCACCTTTTTTAAAATTATTTTTAAATTGTTATTTTTTCGGAAATACATCTCTTTGTGAATTTTAAAAAATTCAAATAGTTTTGGATCTACAAACCGAGGCGTTACCGGTGACCCACTCTGTACATAAGTCATTACCTTACAAGGTTCATTTTTTAATTTTTGTTCAAGAAAAATAAATAGGTTTATACAAAAGTTAAAAATGGATACAGTGAAGCTCGTTTTTCAAAATCTCAAATAGACATCTCTATAAAGATTGTCTCACTTGTTTTTTTAGAGAAAACAAAATATTAAAAAGTACCTAGGGAGAAACGCATTATATATTATATACTAAAAATATTAAACTTTGGTAAAAAGTGTTGTTTTATTTATAAAGACAGAGCAGTAGGTATTTATTTTTATAATTAAAACCAATAATTTTAAAGTTCGGTACTAAGTTAAATTTCATTTCGAAATAAACAAATTTTTTTAAGGCCAACAACCATATTTATTAATAATATATTGAATTATTTATGCCGGCCCTGTGCTGTTTCCACTGTTACAGTTTTGCAAATAACAAAGGTTCTATAGCGTTATCTGTGAAATTACCTTGAACTTCTTACTGCAGAGATTTCTACAAGCTTTGGTTAAGGCAAAGGCCACTTTTGATCTGCATTTTCCCTAGCCGATTAGGTCAATTAATAATTAACTTTTATTTCAAATCAACCTTTTAGGAAAACCAAACATTTGAAGTGCTATTTGTTTTATTTATTTGATGTATTAGTTGTACGGGTGGTAACGAAAAGAAAACGTCTAAATTTGTTTAGTTTTAAAGTAAATACGTCGACAAGTCGAGGGTTTTTATGTGGTTTGGACACTAAGGATCAAAGTAATTTTTCGATTATTTTTAAAAAACTCTGTTTTTTTAGATTTCTTTACAATCCGTAGGCATAATTCATGAATTGATTTCTATATTAAAATTAAGGCTACAAAGTATACTTTCCCGAAAGCTTCGTCGAAAGTAACCTCTGCATAAACGGGGAATTAACATGGGCGATCGCCAGTACTTAGGCACTATAGCAACTGACACTTCTAATTTATTTATTTTACAATTTATCTTTACTATAATACAACATTTTTATTGAAACTTCCATATATAAACTTTAACTGAACTGCTAAATATTGTCGCGCTATTTATTTAAAACCAGGCCCGCTCTAGTACATTCAGTTCTAGTCTAGAAGCTCCTCGAACTTCTTCATCCACGCGTTGGACTGCGAGAGATAACATTCGAGTCGATTTCTCGAGTCTCGAGGCGGGTCTCGATATGGCCAGCGCTAAACTCCATATCGCGGGTATGGTAAACAAAGAACTGTGGCGATCTCAAGACATTAATATTATTTTCTTAGAGCTAATTCGTTACTGATGTTTTTTAAAATAAATGGAAATTCCTAGAATTAATAATAAAGAAAAATTTGCACGTTTATTGTAAAAATATGAATTTTATACATATATTTTTCAAATTACTTCTCTATCATTTGATTAATAATTACTTACTATTTAACGTATTTTAGAAGCAGCGATGGGTATATCAGTTAATGCCCAATTAGATAATAAGTCACAATATGTGAGATCTGTTGAAGAAATATGTAGAATAATAACAGATAGGAACTTTTCCCCACTAGATACACGTTTTTATCCCTTTACCATTAATTATTATAAGGAAAAAATGGCCTTAAAAGTTTTACATGCTCATACTGATACCGTGATTGACAGAAGAATAAAGGAAATGAAGAACTGCGTTGTAGAAAATAATGAAAACGATGTTGGAATTAAAAAGAAAATGGCGTTTTTAGATACATTGCTGAATAGCAACTGTGATGGTAAACCTTTATCTAGGACAGATATTAGAGAAGAAGTGGATACTTTTATGTTTGAGGTCAGTTTAAATAGTATATTGGTTTAAATTTGTCGGAATTAGGTATTGCATCCTTACCATTTCAATGTAATATCATCATGTAACCAATTATTTCGGTAGCGTAGTTGTATTCACTTACAGGCATTTTTGTTGGATGTAAAAGACTTAAATCCACCTACAAACATTAATGATATACTTGATAAAATAACCTTTTTTTTATCTAGAAAAATATAAATTTTAACAAAAAAAAAATGTTTTAGGGCCATCACACGATAAGTTCGGCCATTTCATTTGCTCTATATTCTTTGGCCAACAACCCTTCAGTACAGGTAGGCTTCATTTAAAATTGATTGCTTCTTATAAGGTAAAAATTAATATTCTTATTTTTATAAGAAAAAAGCTTTAGAAGAACAGAAGGAGATCTTCGGAGATTTAAAATCGGCCAAACCAATACCAGCCGATCTTCAAGATATGAAATATTTGGAGTTGGTCATTAAAGAAACATTGAGATTGTATCCTTCTGTACCGTTTTTTGGACGTAATGTTACAGAAGATTTCGAATGGGGTAAGATGTTTTTTAATATTTTCAATTTACAGTTTTCTTACTATTATTACGTTATGATATAGTTTTTACTAGATGTTCTAAGGATATCAATGTTAAGCGTTACTTTGTTAGGGGTTTCGTTCCTTGCATTTTTTGTTTCATGGTATCCTTTACAAAAGAGAGTTTTCTGCATGCAATTATTCAGTCCATCCAACCAATTATCTTGAAATAAGCTTCTTCTTATTTTAAAAACACTCGAAATCAAATCCAATAAAACCAGTATGGAAAAGAATCTGTTAAAAAGGATTTGAAAAAACTAAAGTCCCCTATCTATGACCATATTTTTAAAAAGATACCCAAAGTCGATGTTCAAGCTGTCCAGGATCCAATAATTAATGTTGAGTAGCACGGCTGTTCATTTAGTTTAAGTTAATAATTCTCTTAGTTACTAAGCAGTAAATTAATAGAAAATAAAAGTTTTAATAAAATTACTTATTACGAATAACATATTATATAGGATGATGAAGTAGCGATAACTTTTGCACGACCTTTAACGAACTTACATGGACGGGCTTAAGGAATAAAGTTCCCAAATTTTTTTTCACAGGCGAGCTTAAGGGATAAAACGCCCAGTATTATTATACGTGCGGGCATAAGGATTAAAAGGAGTAAATATTTTAACATAAACAGGTTAAGGGGAAAATGGGTTAAATATATTTACTTGGTCAGGCGAATGGAGTTAGAGGGACCAAATATTTTTATTGTGCAGGATTAAGAGACAAAGGTCCTAAATATTTTTATATCATCAGGCTTAAGGTAAAAAAGTCCAAATATTTCTTTATGGGCAACTTATGGGGTAAAAGGACCATATAATTTTACATATACAGGCTTAAGGATTACAGAGAGCAAATATTTTTTCATGGACATAATTAAGGGGTACGCAGCCTAAATAGTTTTACATAAACAAGCTTAAAGAGAAAAGGGCCTAAATATTTTTACACAAATTGTTCAAACAATTTGTAAATCCTAATCAAAAGGCGACGTGGAATGGTTCTAAAAAATCAGAACTAGCAATGTGAAGTTTCGGAAAAATCCGCCACCTGTCGAACGGGAAAATTTTTTTAGACCATTTGGACCATCTTAAAAACATTTCAAAATATATTTTTGGCCCTGGAAACGCTTCAAAAATTTTTTTTTACCTTAAAACTTCCAAACGAGTCCTAGAATTTCGATCTTAAAAAATGTGGATTACATCATTTTGATTAATTTCTTGTTATAGAAACTGCTAAATAATAATATTAGACCATTCATAAAGCAATAAACCATTCCAATTTTTTTCGTAAACAGTTTATTTTCTTAGTTTAAACCCAGAGTACAGTTCGTGAATATTTTTTAAAGATTTTATTGACAAAAGCAATATGACAATTGACATTTAGAAATGTCTTGACTGTAGTTGGCAGGTCGAACGTCACTGACGTTCATTTTTTATATATCAATGTAAAATGAAGTGATTTTTTAAAAAATTGGTGAAAACAATCAAAATAATGTGAAAAAAAGTACCTGAGTACAAGTAACATGAGTGACAAAAAATATTAAAACAAGATTTACTTTGTTCCACATTGTAAAACAAGACACAAATCACATGTAAAACTAAAGAAAACACAAGGAGAAATCAATTCAATGTCTTTTTAAAGCTTCTAATGTAAATAAAATAATGTATTTATGTCTAAATATAATATTTATTGTAAACTAGTCACAACACCTATCACGGAGTGTAGTTTATTTTATTACAAGTTTCTATAAAATAAAATTTTACAGTCATACAAACAACAATAATTATACATTAAATTTAATTTACTAGAAAAGAAAATTTGTTTTTTATAGAGATTTAATGTTAGATAAATAGCTGTAACTGTTATTTTTTTGTTAAACCCCAATTTTGTCATTGTAAATTTTTTTTATAGGATCCTAAATGCTTAGAACAGTGGCAACATATATGTCTTTCTTAGAGCCGATAAAGCACTTTGAGATGCTGTTCTACACTTTTTAGAAGATATTTTCAAATGTTATGGGACTCTTTTTTACTGATGGTACTGCAAAATAAAAAGGGGAAAGCCGAAATTAAAGGGTGTGACAATATCATATACAAAACGAACCAAGTAACATATCTGGGTCTAATCCTAGATAGAAAACTTACTTGGAACCAACACTTACAAAAATTGACCAACAAATGTAAAATGTTTTTCATTGTAGGGAGACGAGCATTTGGAAAAACATGGGGATTAAAAACAAAAATAGTCCACTGGCTATATTTGGTAATAACAAGACCAATGATAACTTATGGAGCGGTTGTTTGGTGGCCAAAAGTAAAACAAAAAACAGCCCTCAATATCATCTCAGGAATTCAGAGGCTGGCATGCCTTTGTATTACAGGAGCACTGAAAAGTACACCGGCAGCCTCTATGGAAATTATTTTAAACCTCCCACTCCTTGACCTAGTCATACAGGAGGAGGCCAGAATGAGTGCATACAGACTGGAAATCTTCAACAACTGGAAACCACTGGGACGTGTGAAATATACCAGAATAACACATGAAGCAAATTATTACATATTAAACATGGGATCAGATCACATGACACCCCTTCTAACCTTCAACAGACTTTTCCATGTCAACTGTAATTGGAACGAGGTAAATAAGGAGCGGTCTCGTATAGTATACGGATGAATCTAAAACTAACAAGGGAACAGGCTCTGGCGTACATAGAGTTAAACCCAAATGCGACATCATCGTCTCACTGGGAAAACATACCACTATATTTCAGGCTGAAATACATGCAATCGAATTGTGTGTACAAGAGAATTTATGAAGGAAGTACAAAAAACAAACCATCCTAATTCTCTCAGATAGCCAAGCAGCCTTAAAGGCTGGTTCAAACAGAATAAAGTCAAAGTTTGTCTGGAATACTAAATGATCTGGCAACCCACAACAAGGTAAAACTAGCGTGAGTACCAGAGCGCAAAGGTATCCAAGAAAATGAAAAGGCTGATGAACTCGCCAAAGAGGGATCAGATCCACCATTCACAAGAACCGAACCTGTATTTGGGATAAGCTCGACAGGCAGTAAAAAAAGTGGATAACCATAAAACACCAAATTCACTGGCAACAGATAAAAGGGCATAGAATCAGTAAGCTTATGCTAAGGGGACCAAACCCACGCATGGCTGCTGAGGCACTACAACTCGCAAGGCCTCAGATATCCACCATTGTGGGATTACTAACAGCTGAAGAAAACCCCGAAAACCCCACCCATCATCATCGAAGCGGTAACGCATGGCAATTTTTATAATCTGGATGTCATATCAACAGAAATTGAATGTCTGCTAATAAGGCATCCATCAAATCCTATAGAGAACCATACAAACATTCACATGGTCTTCTTTAGCATTCTAAGCCGGGTATTTTTCAACCACAAAATTGCTCGCAAATGAATGCGAGCGCCTACGTCACCAATCCGATGTTCAAATAAATTGTATTCTTGCTCAAATATTACTCGCATATATGGGACTACATTCATGTTGTTATTTTATTTTATTTAGGGTAGGGCACTAGACTAGAACTATTTTAAATTGTTTTTTTGTTGAGTTTTGTTTAACTCAATTGAATTTTACCAATATTCTATATATTTTTTTTATGCAAATAATAGTATATTATGAAACGATCATGTAATAACCATTACATGAGAGTTGCATATGCTATTTTTTGTACACCCGATAAATAATTAAGAACTATAAATATTATATTTTTATTTGTATTGAATACAATAACAGTACTTACTCGTATTTCTATAACAAATTCTACAAAATTGTAATTACTGGTATTACCTCGGGTATTGGTATTACCATAGATTTTTGAAGCAAAATATTTTGTACTGTATTTTCTGCTTTCTCCAATATGTGTGGAGAAGTCGATGGTAAGTCTTTTATATCGCTGATATTTTGATATTATAATTATCAAAATTTAGCTATCTACGAAAATTTAATACGTACTGATTTTGACAACTAAAGCAATTACATAGGAACACATACTTTGATTTTCTTTTCATAGGAACCTAGGACAAATGTCAAATGCACAGCTGCTTGATTGAAAAATTATGGGTTTCTGTTGATTAAAAATCTGTATCATAATGGGTATCATTATGAAACGGATTATGGGCATATAAGTGCATTATTATAATACGGGTGTAGAAAAATATTAATATTAAATATAATATTTTAATACGGTACACTGTTTTTGATTTTCCTACTTCCCCAATAAGTATATAAAATAAAGTGCGCTTTGGGTTAACAATATATTGTTTTTATTTATTTTAGAAGGTATTTTATTTCCAAAAGGACAACAAATAGTCATAATGGCATATGTTATACAGAAAAACCCAAAATTTTTTCCGAACCCTTTAGAATTCATTCCAGAACGATTTTTGGAAATAGATGGTACACATCCGTACAGATACATACCATTTAGTGCTGGACCCAGAAATTGTATAGGTTAGTTGTTTAAAGTAAATTTGAATATTATTTATAAATTTCATTAAAAACAATTAACAAAATGTATAACAACCGCTTAATTTAAAGTGATTAACAAGGCAAACTTAGCAAATATTTATAAAACGTCCTGTCATTAGTATTTTTTGTAAAAATTAAAAACGTATCAAAGTAATTAATCAAATAACTAGAAGATATAAAGTAAATAACACACACTACATGTCACAGAAACTACGAGCGACCGTTTTCCTTCGGAAAACAACTGCTCCTTTGGCTAACACCGCACTATTTCTTGTTTTTTTTTATTTTTTAATTTCGTAGCGGGAATTGGAGATAGTATTTTCACATTTACAAAATTTACTTTTTATTTACATTGTGAGCCACCAGTAACGCCTCGGTCTATGGGACCGATAATATTTTATTTTTTTAATTTTATTTTTACAGCAAGATATACAGGGTGTCCCATTAATGCCTAATTGTTCAATATTTTAATTTGTGTTATAGACACACAAACAAGTTTCAAATAAAAGTTATTTGAATTTAAAAAAATACGTCTTTTTGAAATATTTTTTGTGTTGTGTTGCGTTTTTGCCTGGCAAATAAAAATGTATATTTTTTTAAATTGAACACCTTGTATTTTATTTCAGTTTTAAAATGGTTTAATAATACTATATTTAAACCAAGAATTTTTCTTTAAAATATTACAGGGTTGCCATGCAATTAATTTTTTTATGAAATTAGAGAACGATGAGGACCCCAAAATAAATTATCATAATTTAGATAGGTTTACATTGATTTCGAAATTGTTTAATCTAAGCTAACCAATTTTTGTGATAGAACTGCTTTATTTTATACAAAGTGATTTTAAGCATGTCTTAAATAAGGCTAATTTTAAGTTCAATTCATAAAATTTTTTCAAATGCATGTATATTATTTTAGCATAAAATTCCTTATAAATTTACTTATTCAACGATACCAATATGTTAGCCAATAACACATATACAGGGTGAACCCGTGTACCATCAGTGCGTAATTGATATATAACTGTTCTATTATTGGAAATACGAAAAAAAATTAATTTAAAAGTTGTACGACCATATTTAACAATTATTCTTAACTATACAGGGTGGTCCATAAATGAGAGGCTTACCTATACATTTTTAAAGCAAAACACTCTGCAGGTAGTTATACATACTTGATTGTTTTCACATCATTAAACAATTAATAGACTTTAATTATTTGTTATGTTGTATATAGGGTGTGTCAAACTGCGAGGTTACGATTTTCTCAATTTTTATCATGTATGTTATACCACCAATTAATTAATACCTCGCGTTTTGACACACCCTATACACAACATAGCAAATAAATGAAGTCAATTAAAAATTGTTTGACAATGTGAAAATATTCAAATATGTATAATTACCTGCAGGGTGTTTGGCTTTATAAAAGTATAGGTTTGGTCAGCCCTCATCATTTATAGATCACCCTGTATATTTAAGAATTATTGTTAAATATGGTGATACAACTTTTATAACAATTTTTTTTTAGTATTCGTAAATGGACTGTTACTTAATTAGTGATTAAAATTTAACTAGCTGTAATTTATTATCGAATATAAAATTTTTTAACAATTTCTAATAGGACTAACATTCAGTTAAAAATAAATACAAATAGCGACCAATTCTAGACTTACTCCATTATAATACCTACCTTAATCTATGTTTATAAAAAATTTTTAGTTGACTTTGAAACCTCAATACTGATAGTTCGTTACTACTAACGTTATTAGTGATATAATATTTATTTTAAAGAAAATATTTCGAGTGTTACTTAAAAAATGCTAAGAAATAAATCTTATTAAATCAAATTTGTTTAAATAACACTACATAAACGTAGAATAAAGTAGGTATTATGTAAAGTTTTCGGCTGCTATATATTATTTTTTTTGTTTAATTTTAAAAGTCGCATTAGATATTGTCAAAAACTTTTTGAGTTGATAATAAATTATATCTGGTTAAATTCTAATTACCAATTAACAAACAGTCTACAGTATATTTCCTATTCACCAGTCACCAGTTAAAATTAGAGTATTTTCTGAATTATCTTTTTTCCGATTAAAATTTTAAAATCTATCAAAATTATGAATTTTTGGTATAGGGAATAACTTAAATAAAACTTTAATTAAGGTACTACACAATAACATAAGCAGATGACTGGTCATTATGCAAACAAAGAATTTTGAGAACATACTCTGCGAAAGAATGCAAGTAGCTACAAAAATTAAATAATGGTGGTACAAGGACCATTCACTGTCTGTCAATCCTAGGAAGATATAAATGATCCTTTTCACAAGGAAAAAGATGTAAATGGAATTAAAACCTCCAGAACTCCTAAGCACAAAACTAAACTTTGCAACAGAGATTAAGTACCTAGGCCTTACCTTTGACAGCAAGTTAACATGGAACTCGCATTTAGAAAACAGAGTCAAAAGAGCAAACATTGCTTATGAACAATGCCGTCGAACCATGGGGCGTACCTAGGATTTCTCCCGCAGAGTCATCGCATGGACTTATACGGCTATCATAAGACCTATGCTGATATACGGTGCAGTTGTCTGGGTACCGAAAACCCAAAAATTAACAGCTATCTGTAAACTAGAACAAATTCAAAGAACAGCATGTCTCAACATAACAGGAGCCATGAAAACAACACCGACCAGAGCCATGGAAGTCATTTTTAGTCTCATTCCTCTTGATATTTACATCAAGGAGGTTGCTTCGACGACAGTGACACGCCTCCGCACGGTTGGAATAGAACCTGATGTAGGATCTGGTGAGGCGAGACGTCGCTTTTGGCAGGAGGCGCTCGATACGCTCCCACTGCTTCAAGCTAACATGGACTCCATCTCACCGAGATATATCATCCATAAGCCATATAAAGTTAAAACAGAACAAATAGGAGAGCCGGAAGTGGCAGGTACAATTCATATCTACACCGATGGTTCTAAAACAAAACAAGGCTCAGGATGTGGAATATACTCCAGATTCTAAAACCTACTCGTAAATATAAAATGGGATGTGAGCAATAGTCCCATTGTAGTTCAAACAGAGCTAACGGGGATTCTCATAGCAGCAAAAGAAATCACCAGAAACAATATCACTGGAAAGAACATGCTTATCCATACATATAGCAGACAAGCACTACTCACCCTGAACAGACCACGAATTTACTCAGGGTTAGTACTAGAATATCACGAAGCTTTGGCCGAAGTATCCGTCAATAATGTGGTCATCTTAAGATGGATCAAAGGTCATACCACATCGAAAGGTTACCGCCTTGATGATACACTAGTCAAGAAATTAACCTACCATATACTTTTGGGACCTGGCCCTTCTATTGGCCTGACAAAATCAGTAGTGACAAACCTAATTAAAGAACATTCCCTTATGAAATTCAAGGAAAGATAGGATGAAACAAGAAACTGCAGAGTTGCCAGGGGGCTCTTAAGTTATCCTGACAACACTGCAGCAAACAAATACTTGACTATGACTAGACAGAATCTGCGCCTAGTCACAGGCATTCTGACTGGTTATTGCCAAGTACGAAAGCATCTCCATATCATGGGGCTGACGGAATCCGCACTCTTTAGAAGGTGAGAACAAGAAGATGAGACCATCGAGCATATCCTTTACGACTGCTCGACACTTTCATTTATTAGAACATTTGTGTTCGGCGAGTATCGGCCAACACCAGCCGATATAAGAGAAGTACCTCTTGGCGAAGTTGTCAACGAGCTAGGAGGTGCCTATCATCTTAGGAGGATGCACAATGAGCCTAGTGAGGCCTAAGTGCCGTGGGGGTAACCCACCCTCTACACGTTACAGATGCGTTACAGAAAGTACTTTTAAATGGTAATATAAAATAATATCAGTTTGAAAAACTGAGAAAATGATGTATTTGAGTTTTAACTCGCACTGTACATATTTGTTTCTAATTAAAAAAAAGTAGTACTTAAATTTTGACTAATAACGAAAACATTTTACTGGAAGTAAATTGATTTTCATTTGTTTCTTTTGTACTATACAGGTCATTGAAATTCATAGTATAATCTCATACTATTTGGTATTGTTATAATTGGAAAAGCGAGGGTAATTTAAATATAAAATAAAATACAGCGTGTGCTATTTAAAAAACTTTGATATGTATCACTTTCTTGGAGAACCCTGTATAATTGAAATTCTTTCAAAATTTTTGATATACATCTTGCTGTGAAAACAGATTATAAAAAAATAAGTTTTGGCTCTACAGACCGAGGCGTTACCAGTGGCCCACCCTGTATATTATTATTAATATTTTTTTGATCTAAAACCAAAAAACATTTTAATATACACAAATGTTAGACTTAATTATATCTATTTATATTTTTAGGTCAAAAATTTGCTATGTTAGAAATGAAGAGTAGCATATCCAAAGTTCTAAGAAACTTTGAACTATTCCCGGCGAATCCCAATCAAGAGCTACAATTAGCACCGGAACTTGTATTAATATCAAAATCTGGGATTCCTCTGTGTTTGAAGAAGAGATATTAAATATATTCTTATTTTATAATATTTTTTATTAGGTATATATCTGCATAATGTGTTTTGTATTGTTTGTTATATCACTGGAATTAAAATTCATATTATAATAACTAATTAGTTTTCTAATATTTCTTAGTATATTATAGGCATAATGTGTTTTTTATTGTTTTATTACTAGAATTAATACTCATATTATAATAATTAATTAATTTGTTTCATACATTGCCACCGAATCCCCCGCGAGGAGAATTTTTTTAATTTTACAGTAAATTTGTTTTCTTCTTGGGGTTCAAAAATTTCGTAAAGATAATATTAGGATTTGTTAGGGGATTTTAAAAGAATTTATCATGCTATTTTTCGGATATTTAATCAATCAGTTTTAGGAACTTTAAAACCGATTATCTCATTCTATTAATTAATTTAGACCGATTATATTATCTAATAATTTGGTGTCATTCCATCTCCGCCCCTCGTCAGAGACCCACTAATGATTTTTCGAAAAGTCAATGAATGGCACTTCCAGGCTCTGACGTAAGCTGGTACAAAAAAACCAAAAAGGATCTCCTAATAGCTACGAATATGAATGGTTCCGAATTCGCATGACACAGCTGATTGTGATTTCGACTAGGACGACGTCGTGACGCTGACGGTGACGCTGAGCGTTTTGTTTCCCGGCATCGCGCATCGCGAGCGTCTCGGTCTTCGTTAGTGCACCGGAAGTTTTTCGTTTGATTCGGAAGAGAACGAAAGTCATCAGGTATTTTTTGGTTTTGTTTTCCCGCTCGTAATACGTTTTTGAATTTATAAATATTTGGTAAGTAGTTTTCATCAAAAATATATATATTATTTGAAATTCCTAAAAAAACAATAATATTTGAGTTATTATTATTTTAATGTTATTTTGTAATTAATTTATGAATTGAAACATATTTTACAAAATTTTGTAACAAAGTTTCATAAAAAAAAAATCTAAAATAATTTACCACGTTAAAACGAGTAATTTATTTAATTTTAAATAGGCCATAGACTTTTACATTAAATAATACGTTATACGAGCTTACACTAAGTAAAGTAATTTTTATACAGAGTGATTCATTGAGAAACGGACATTAAGGTGATTATTTCTGCTTAAAGAGCCTTTGGTCATTTAAAATCGAGATATTTTTAATAAATTTGCCTATTTCTCTTCTTTTTATAACTGGGATTATTTTGACCTTTGGTACATTTGTCATTCCATATATCTTGTTGAATATATCAAGGTATATAAAAGTAAATTCAGTTGGGTCTGTTCTCAAAACTAACGAATTTTTCACCTGAAAACAACATCTTTTATAGGTATTTGATTTCTTATAATTTGTTTCGATATTTGAAAAGAGCGCATTAAATGAATTTATCTGTATTATTTTTTACAAGGGCAGATAATTTTACTACTTAAATTTTAAATTCAAATTATTATTTCTGAGCATTTTCGGGGTACAAAATGGTTAGGACGATATTTTATTAATTCTATCGCGTTAAATTAAAATTATTTAACATAACTAGGTAAATTTTTAAAAGCTGCACTAGGGCTGCTGTCGGTCTAGGACATTTGAGCGTGACTGTTTGGACGCGGAGACGTTTGGCCGCGGGGATATTTGGGCGCGAGCCATTTGGGCGCGGGGACATTTGGGCGCGAGGAAATTAAACACATATTATTACGAGTACTATTACTGTTTTATTTTCTAAAATAAAATATATATGTTACGGTCAAAGATGATATTTCGGTCTTTAACGATATTGGCCGGTCATTTTCGTAAATCTCCTATTTGATTGGGCATTCTGCTAACGTTAGTGTCCGGTCAATATCGTCAGTGCCCAATTTACAACACTGCCCGTTACCTATACAATTTTATAGAAACTACATTTTAAGCAGTCATTTTGTAGTTGTATGAAATTACTCTTAAAAATTCAATAATTTTCCTATCGTTTGCGTAATGATCATTATTATAATCTTCAATCATTTTTTTTATTCTTTTATCAACCTGGATAAATTTTTGTTTTTTAGGTGTAGACTCATTTCCCGCAAGTAAGTGCTCATAAACAATATCTCTCCTCCATTTGGATAGTTTTCAGGCTGTTGATGAATTTCCAAATGGTTGGATGGTTCATCGGCAGCTCTGAGTGTAGCCTTCTGTGTGATTCCTCTGCCTGGTTATTTGACTAATAACTTATAACTTTTACTGATAAAAAAGCTAATGAAAATACAAATTCGAAAAATATAACCTATTAATCAAAATTCCCGCGCCCAAACGTCCTCGCGCCCAAACGGCTTCGCGGCTAAACGTCTCGGCGCCCAAACGTCTCCGCGTCCTAACGTCCCGCCCAGATGGCCGTACCGCTGGTTGTTTTCACAAGCTATTAAAGTTATAAATTTAAATTTACAAGAAAAGTTAATCCTAACAGCAATTTACAGATCTCCTAATTCTTCTCCTATGTTATTGAACTCTACATTATTTTTTAAATATTTAAATAAAACTAAAACGCATATTATAACTGGCGACATTAATAGTAATATATTGTTAGAAAAAGTTGATTTTGTAAATGCATATAAGACCATATTAAATTTTTTTGGATATATTTCGTATATCAATGACATAACTAGACGAGTAAGCAGTACATTTAGATCACTTTTATGTCAAATGTAAAGGTAATATTTAGCGAAATAAGTTCTTATTTCCTTCAGTGTACCCCCAAAGATCAAGATCCAGTCATCCTTACTTTAAAAAGTTCATTTATTTTCAATAATTCAAACCCAAATAAAAAAATTATGAATTATCTTAATTTAAAAAACGATCTAAAAGAGGTAAACTGGAACGTGATTAATATAAACAATAATGTAGATGTCGCGACAGAAACCTTTATTACTACTTTAAATACAGTAATAAGTAAGAAAATTAAAAACTGTGGATAACCAAAGATCTGTTAAAATTATTAACAGATAAATATAACATCTATTTGAAACTACAAAAAAAACAAAAACTATTGCCTAGAACAAACCTATTAAAATAATTAAGTCAATTAAAAAGGTAAAAAGAATACGCCAAGCGTTTAATAGATGAAAACAAAAACTCCGTATGTGGACTTGTGTAAATCAGTTATGCTGAAAAAAAAAGTCCTAAAACAAAAATAACATTACTATAATAATAATAATAATAATAATAATAATACTCTCCCTAATTCACCCCCTTACGAATGAATTTCAACCCCTGAAGTCGACTGAACGACTTGTGTAGGGGAAGGGACGGCTATTATTATTATTATTTGCCGTGGCGCTCCGGGGCGACTTAAAGATGATTGATGGTGCCATTTGACTTACAGGTGAGGAAAACCCGGAAAACCTCACCCACCATCATCGAGACGGTAATGTATGGCGAATTTTTTTAATCTGCATGTCATATCAACAGAAATTGAATTTCTATTAATACGCCACATATCAAATCCTAAACCGAACCATGCAATTTAATTAAAAATCCACATGGTCTGGTCTGGGATTCGAAACCCAGCAGTCTCAGACTCATAAACTTGCCTATAAATGAATATAAGCGCGATAGACCGCTACACCACCGTCCCGATACTTAAGAAACACAATGAAATAATTACAGATAAAACCAGCATAGCAAATGTATTTAACAATTTTTTTAGTGACTTAGGGGAATTGTATGCGAGACAAATAAAAACACTGGAAAATTCTACACAAAAGTCTTCGTTATCATTCGACAGCTCATGAAAAGAGCTTAGAATGGGTTCAATTTCGGAGCTTGAAGAATTTGAAATACTTGATTCAAATTTTTTAGCTTTTTTATTTTTTTTTTTTTGCGATGGCTTTCTTATTTCCCGAAAAAACTTGCCTTTTTGCACGATTTTTAGGGGACGTTAGCTCTAAATCATGTTGTCTTCTTTTACCAATTTGGTAAGGAATCAAGGAAATCGTAAGAAGAATTTGGTAGAAGTTTTTTTTTTCTCTCCTGGGCTCGTCTAACTATGTGTCTCCGAATAACACTGAAGCCTATTGGCTCATTGTGTTTTACCCCATGTTAGTTCATAGCACCCACTCTATCACCTTTGTACCTTGTACAAGTTTGTACAGATCCTTGAGTGAGTGGGTTCTATACGTTGTTGGATCAACCTGGGGTTGTCCAAAAAGAGCCTGTCTTTTGCGATCTAGAGCTTCGCATTCGCACAGTATGTGTTTGGCCATTTCTGGTTTCTTGTGACATAGTCGGCACATGAGTTCCCCATTGTACATGCCAATTTTGTTCAAGTGTCCCTTTACTGGGGCGTGCCCAGTCATGAACCCTGTTATCACTTTCAACTGGTTCCTATTCATTAAGAGTAGTTCTCCAGTTCTTTTGGGACATGGTCTGCCTATGAAGGCTTTTCCATGTGCCTGTTTTGGGGTGCTTCCCCAATAGTTGATATGTTGTTCCCGAATCCAGTCATTTATAAAACCCCGGACTGTACTTTTTGGTACTCCTGGGTTTGTGTCTGGTTCCGGTGTTTCTTCTGACCCTCTTTTTGCAAGTTCGTCAGCCTTTTCGTTGCCTTCGATCCCTTTGTGACCTGGCACCCAAAATAGTTTTACTCTATTACGATCTGCCAGTGTTCTTAGTTCTTCGATGCATTCCCATACCAGCCTCGACGTAACTTTCTGACTCGATATGGCCTTAAGTGCCGCTTGGCTGTCTGACATTATTTGAATATGCTGATTTTCGACAGCTCTTTCATTGTTCGTTTTTGCACATTGCAAAATTGCGTATACCGAGGAATGTATTCCTATAGCATAGCTATGGTTAGTATCAGGGTTTTTGGAGAATACTCCTGCCCCAGTGCCTTCCGCAGTCTTAGACCCGTCTGTATACCATGTTTGTTCCTGTCGTTGGGCATTGGGCTCCCTTATGGTGATCTCCGCTCTTTCCTGTATTAAAACCTCAGAGGGAGTATTAAAAGAGTACCCCTTGGTTAAGTGGTTTGATCTCATGTCTAGCACGTCTCCTGTCACTAACCTTGAGATACTCATGTGACCTGACCTAATGTCAAGATTTCCCAGTGTATTCCCTAATCTGTAAGCACCTAATCTTGCCTCCCCTTGTATCACATAGTGAAGAGGTGGGAGTCCTATTAGTGCTTCCATTGCAGCAGTGGGGGTTGTTTTCATTGCCCCCGTTATTCCGAGGCAGGTAAGTCTTTGTACCTTGCTAAGCCTCGTTATTGCTTTCCTTTGCTGTCTTTGGCCACCACACCAAAGCTGCGTATGTTATTATGGTTCTTACCACCATGTTATAAATCCAATATACCATGTCTGGTTTTAAACCCCATTTTTTTTCAAAGGATCGCCTTGCCATCAATAATGAGGTTTCCGCTCTCCTTGTGGTTCTTTCTAGATGCTGGTTCCAGGTAAGTCTCGAGTCAATCATTACCCCGAGATATTTTACCTCCCCCTTAAGCTGGATGCTTGCACCTCTTAGGTTTAGAGGCCTTAGTCCCTCCAATTTCCTCCTGCGGGTGAATGCAATTATGTCAGATTTGTTTGGGCTAATGTTTAGTCCTTCCACCTCTGTCCATTTTGTTACTATGTTTAGAGCCTCTTGCATTCGATCTCTTACTATAGTGTTGTATTTTCCCTGTGCCATGATCACTAGATCATCGGCATATCCCAGGGTTCTATGTCCCTTATCTTTGAGAGCCCTAAGCAGCCCGTCCACTACAAGGTTCCACAGGAGTAGAGACAGCACTCCACCCTGTGGACATCCTCTCGCTACCCGTGCCGCTGTTGTC